TCTTTGAGCCCACAGGTGCAGAAAACACTCATACGAAACGGCATCACCTCAACTCTCAGCTCAGTCTCTTCCAATGTCTAAATACTGCAAACGTAAGCAGAAAAACCATTCAAGGAGAGAAGAAAACCTAGAAAATGCGGTTGTCGAGAGCTGCGTGCGTGTCGCGCGCGGTCGCGCCATCGTCACGATTTTTCGAATACCCTTTACTCATTTTTCGCTTTTCCCTGTTGCTGTAATAGAGCCGTGTTACGGTGGATCTGAACGTTTAAACTCTAAGTTTAAATTTCAGAATTTACTCAATGACGCTCATGAAGAACTGATAGACGCTGTGTAGAACATCAAAATCTGGCGTCCCTGGACAGCGAAAATTCGATAGCAGCTACATCTGCAACAGAAATGGCGCATCACGATTACTGTACAGACTACTGCGCCAGGACCACAAAGAATATACAGGCCCCGTAAAATCCAATCGCCCACGCGTCGCTTTGAACACCAACGTGCGACGCGGCTGAGAACGTTTGGTCCCGAAGCGCTGCAGGCCTTTCGCAAGCAACAGTGAGCGCGCACCCTTTCCGCACATATTTTTTTGAACTTTTGAAAAGAGCTTTCGTCAATATACCCTGCATTGACGAGAACAACATGAAAGTTAAAGAAAGATTTCTTGGAATATAGTGAACGCCGACATTCGTTCGCGACGACCGCTCGCTTACGCTGGTGTTCAAGGCACGACGAGGGCAGTTAGGTTTTACGGCGCCTATACACTCCCCATTGAGAGTTGCAGCTTGATAAAAAGTCCTACAGTGACGTGCTAGGCTTACCATCCAGGGCCCAGCATGAAATCGTTTCTAGGCTTTTTAAAAACGAAGTCACCTTTGACTGTCAGCCGTAAACGTAAAAAACTCTCAAAAGACGAAACTCGACTGAAAAACGTCGCAGTTTTTGGCCACAAACTTGATTTCCTTTTGCTTTTCCGCCCCAAAAACCAAATCCAGCTTGCTTCCATACAATCTGCGCCGGGCTCTGGTATCATCATTCAAATTATCGAATATTCGAATATTCGATGTTCATCGAATGATTCGAATATTCGACGACCATCGAATGATCGAATTGATGACCATCGAATATTCGACTTTCGAATAATATTCGAAAATTGAAATTTTCGAATATTCGACTTTCGAATAATATTCGAAGGTTGAAATTTTCGATTATTCGAATATTGAATATATTCGAAAACTGAAAATTTCGAATATTCGACTTTCGAATTTTATTCGAAATCTCAAATTTTCGAATATTCAACTTTCCGAATGATTGGCATTCGAATGATTTATTCGAATAATCGAATAATCATTCGATTCGGTCCCAAGTATAGTAGTGATGCCTGTCTTAGACGATGTTGATCAAGTGGCATAACCAAAAAAGTGCAATCACTAGACAAGCTGATCTTTCGTATAGCAAATCGTTTTACAAAAGCAACTCGAATTCGATTACATTGGAACAGCTTAGTTCACCATTTCTCTCAAACCTCCATATTCCTTCACCATTACTAGATTGCAAATCTAGATGCAAAATTCCTTGAATGAAAAATTTACACATTCTTTTTCCCGCAATAACTTTGCAAAAAGCACCTTATTCGGATGACTTACGATTAATAGTACAGATTGTTGAAAAAGCTTTGCTAAGTTCGCAAAGAAAACTGCATCAAATCGTTTTTAGAAAGTTTGTTTTTCAATCTTTTGGTTTAAGCGCGAACTCCTTGAGGATTGTTATATGAATAGCATTTTTTCTCAACAAGTGCCGCCGAAATTGTTGCTAGAAGATTAATCTTGGTTGTTTTTTGAAGCTTATCTCTTACTCTGGAGCGCACAATTGGAATGCACCACAAGTTTTTAAAAAAATTCAAATAATTCAGCAAAATATAGTGGTTTCCTATAATTCATTTCTTGAGGTGCTTAATATGTTTCCTCACCTCAAAACAGTTGGCCAAATCTAAGTGCGATAGACTTAATCTGCCTCTTTATTTTTCTGCTAACATATTACAGCAAGAAACTTTATCTCCAAATTCTTTTATGAGATGCTTAGTAAATATTTTTATCTCAGACAAAGTGCACTAAATTTTTCTGAAAATTTCTCGCTATTTTTAGTTTCCTCGGACAATTTATGTCAATGGTTCATTTGAATAAGCAATTCATTTGAAAAGCCCATGTCATTCAAAAAAAGTTGCCAGGTATTTCAGCAGAACAGTTGCAGTCTTCAAAATTTCGATTACTTTACTTCTCTATATTGCCGACACTGATCCGCTCACTCGAAAGCAACTTTTTTCTGTTTTTTAGCAGTAATTTAAATACAGTTTTGATCGTGCAACACTTTTTTGAAAGTGAGTCACTTTGTTTTCTTAAAAAATATTGTTGAGTCTATGCAAGACATCAGTGATTGATACAAATTCTTGAGCCAAATGTTTAGCATCTCTGAAAATTTAATCTAACATGCCATTCAAGGGCTATTCAAAAACATATCAAAACGTGTCGAAGAGTGCATTTTACTCCATCATAGTTATCACTGTGCCCCTCAAATATCTGGAACTTTGCGCCTATTAAAGATCTCAGATGTTTTTACTGATTTTGTGGGTAATTTTTCTACATCAATGTACGAAAATTCTGTTCAAAGTTCTCTGCTAATATATATTTGAAAAAGCTAAAACAGTCTATCCAGATCAGCTTTTATGTGCTATATGCACCTCAATTGTGAATATCGCACAGCCTCAAACTTGTATAAGGGTGGAGATTTAGGAGGCAGCTAAAAGCATAAATACCTTTGAGTAGGTCCCTTCAAGAACTCAAATCAGTAGCTTGCTAACAATAAGATAACCTGATTGAGTAGATTTTGGAACACCTATGGATGACTTGCAAGGATGCTGGACAGTTTGAAAGCCCTTATGAAACGCGACCGAGAGTTTTGTAAAATCTCTTGAAGAGGAAAAGAAATTGTGACGCTTCCAAAAAGGATACTTTGTGAAAAAAAGAGAGAGTGAAGTGTTTGAATTTAGGAACCTTTGGATTTGGTAGTTTGAATGTTGGCTAATTATTTTCAAGAAAGTTAGTTTGAATTTTCTCGCTAATTTAATTTTGGAAAGAGATAAGAGTAGTCTGAGCAAGAATTTTTGGGGGAGTGGAGGTTTTAAGGCAGCTTGGGAGACCATTCAGTGGGCAACAGAGCCCCGGGTGGAAGAGTGCACGTGGTTGACAAAGCTCTGTCGGGTATGGTACGGGTGCTTGCTTCTGAGTGAAAAGGAGTTGAGGGTGGGGGAGGGGGGAAGGGGATTTGGATGATAGCAAACCCCTATACAACAAGTATCTGTAGAGCAAAGGAAGGAGCGATGCGGTTAGAAGAAGTTGGGAGGGAGGCAGTCATAATTCTGTTGCCACTTCTAATGAAAAAATTCTCGAAATTCTAACGCAGGGAAAATCCATGAATTGATAATCTTTAAGCTCGTCACGCTTTCAAAACTGTGCCATACTTTTAGCGAGGAAAAGGTTTTCACAAGTTATTTCCAATATTTTTAATTTTTTATCACAACCCACTTCACACACACGCACACACATCCAGTCTAAAGCGCCGCGAAGTGGCGCTTTGGACTGGTTCATAATATTTGCAAATTATAAAAATCGTCATTTGTCTCGCACAACAAATTTTTTGATATTTATGGTGTACTTGAATAATTATCATGTTTACCCAAAAATGCTACCGTAGTCGTACACCGTCTTGACAGCTTACGGCAGCGCGATATGGTACCTTAGATTTTTTCAAAACCTTGCTTTTGGTTTGGGACTGATTATAAATGAGAGCAGTGCAAAATGTTAAGTGTTTTTTTGCGAAATATCTGAGCATGATTGTTCCACTTGCAATAACATGACAACTAAATTTTGCACTTACAAAAATGAGATTTCCCTATTTTGTCATCCTACTGCTTTGTATAGTGGCAGGCACACAAGCTGTCACATGTGACTTAAAAGATTCTACAAAACGTAAGCAGCATGTATTGCATCTTGCATTTTCCCGGTACACTTATGCTCACGATAAAAGTTTGCAATTTAGCGATAACATATACTACTGTTTTCGGGGATGTGGAACCGGAAAATGTGAATTGCTTGGAGATCGCTGGATTTGCGTATGCTCCAGATGCCGGTGAGGGAGCATTACTACACTTGTTTGAAAATGTGGAAATGAGAAGTAGATGTTTGAAAGCGATGTTGGAGATACCACAACGGATATAACGAGTTTTTATAATGGGAAAACTAGCACCTTAAGGGCTGCTTACAACTGGTCAAGGCAAATTCATTTAGACGCAAAAGAAACTCAACTTACGAGCTTATAACTAACCAGTGCGTCACATCTGCTTCGCAGAGGCTCGCACTGGTTCTTCTATAAATGTCACACTCATTTTCGCATAAGATGGCATTGAAACCTATCGCGGAATGCCCTCCTTTACGAAAGAATCGTAAACAATTACTCATTCCGAAAGCTTTTTCGGGTGAGATCGATTTTGCATGGGTAAAACTTTGATAGTTGAAGAACAAATGTAGATTTGGAACACTTCTAAATTTCTTCATGGCTTGGTAGTCGTCATAAAGATAATTTCCACCGTGAGCTACATTTTTGTGCAGAATCTCCTCATATGCTCAAAATCCTTGGCAATTTCACCATTCACGCAAATCGTTCGTTTCGACACCGTTTTCGTAGAGTTATACACTTCCATTTTTGGAGCCAAAAATTTTGGCTTGCATACTGACTTGCGAAAGGTAAGCATAACTCTGCAAAAGGTGGTAATACGGACCCAATTTTGCAGATTTCTGCAGTACAGATGTTCTTCAGTATTTCAACGCACGGAAAGGAGGAAGCTATGTCACTTAGGTATAGTGCTCAATTTGTGTTTATAGCAATAATAAACTGAGAGAATGGCAGTGTAGTGGAAAGTATTTATACTCATATTAAAAATAGATAGTTATTAAATGACATTGTTTGGAAGCTGGTATGACAAAGTGACACTGTCAATAAATACAATTTCTCAAAATTCTTTCGTATACGTAATCTTGTGACCAGGAATGTACTTGAAAACTTTTTTTGCAACCTTCTTGAGCTTTTTCTTGAGTTTCTTACCAAATCCGCCCTCAGCAACGTTCACAACAGAAAAAATCTGTAAGCATCAAAGTAATGTACAGTCAGTAAGTTTAAGAGTAAATTCGAAACTAAGTCATGTCTTTCTTGGCCAACGTACCACTAGTATGGTAAGTAACAAGTAGAACAAGTTGAAAATTCTCATTCTTGTCGAACTGACGTAAACTGTCTGGAAAAAACTATTCTGAGAGAGTAAGCAATATATAGAGCGTTTGATAAAACGACGAACAAACAAAAATTCTTTGACACAACTTGACACAAAAGCAAATTATCTTCTAGTGCAAGGGAAATTGTTAGATTACAATAACGTTGGTTTCTCTGCTAAAACCTAGGCATTTGTAAAAGACGATGTCGCAGATTATATCAAAAACAAAATCTCATAAAGTTGTGCACAATATACACAACTCTGCCATTGACTATTTCGTCTGTTCGACTGTAAATTCATCGCCTTTTTTCTCTGAAAAAAATATCAGTAACTGCCTTTTCAAAGAAGAAGCACAAAGCTTGCGTTTGATCAAGTGCTACCCAAAAATTCCCGGTTGCTAATATTATTCTACTGCAAATCATTGTTCTTTGTACTCCTAAGCTGTCACGTATATGCGGTCGTCATACGTGGCAGAGTTGGTAGTGAAAGGTTACAAAGAACAGTGCCTTGCAGTAGAGGCTTAACAAGTTCACCAGCGTATTCAGATGTCTGCAAGTGCTCCGCTCAACGTAACCGGGGAGGCGACGATAGCAAGATTAGCTGATTGTGCTGTGAGAGTACGAAAGTGAATAAAAAAACCCTTTAAATGATTTAATATTCATGAAAGCGCATTTGACAACTTTCAACTAATTGACTCCTTCTGTATTGCAGTACCCTTGGTTAAACTTATACCATTGAATATGTTCCACACGTATGATACCTACGTCTGACGTCTTTCAATTCACGACTGTGAGTTGCAGAGACTTGCAGAGACCATTTGAAGTGAGATGTACATGCCAAGCGTAGTATGATATCCTAATCCTGAATCCAATATTCGTATAAAAATGCTTCCATGAAAATATTAAGTTGGCCCAAATTGTTAGCGCCATTTTCTCCATTATAGCTTCTTACATTCCGAACCATTCACTTTCCCCAGTTCTGAAAGAGATGATCATGAGCACTATAAAAGCATTTGAGGTACTTTCTAATAGGTTCTTTCAAACAAGCAGTAATAGAAGTTAACGAATAGAGTCTGTAGGGTTGTCAAAAACGTGAACCAGGGCTCGGGCGAGAATGACTAATAATCATCTGTGTAGCGATTACGCCTTTGCCGCTTTGATTTCACTATTTTCCCCTGATCATCAACTGCGCAAACTATTTGATTAAAGCGCGTTTTTCTCAAAGGCCGGGACTCTTTGTTCATTCAGCGAAGAGGAGAAGAGAAGCTGAAGGAGAAGTCGCTTTCATGATGACTCAAGTGCTAGAATTTTTGCATTACATACAAAACCTTTTGTACTCCGACCTGCAAGCTCCTAAAGTATTATTTACCTGAACTCTGCATGAAACGAAGCTGTCTTGCTCATTAAAGGATAGTAAAGTTCATACGTGAGTGCCTCCGTGCTGGCCAAGAAGTAGAGCAATAGAATTTTGAAAAGAAAGAAGTTCATAGTTAACTCTCGAATTTATAATATAAATGCACCTCTCTAAAAGGCTGTGTTAAGATACCAGAAAAGGAAAAGTCAACATTTCTGTTTTACCTATCACATGATACCTTTCCTCAGCATTGTATAAGCGGTTGCAAAATAGAGTTATGTTATGTTGACCGTAATTTCTGCTGAGGGCTTACCCACGTTGCCTTAATAAGAATATTTGTGGAATGCAAGCCCTACAACATGAGCGAGAAATCTAGGGTGTATGACCGACACGGACACAATTCCTTTTTCCCACTTATAAATATAGTCCTGTACCAGTCATACGTACTTCCTTTAGTCGCTTATTGTAAACAGCTTTGATGATTTAGATAAACAAAATCTCTTGACAGTCACTGTAAGGAAATTCTTCTGTTAATCCTTGAACTAAGCCGGAACTCGTGACTAATGTTTAAAGAAAATTTCTTGACAGTCACTGTAAGGAAATTCTTCTGTTAATCCTTCAACTAAGCCCGGAGCTCGTGACTGTGTAAAAAAATCTCTTGACAGTTACTGTAAGGAAAATCTTGTGTTAATACTTGAACTAAACCCGCAGCTCGTGACTAATGTGCAAAGAAAATCTCTTGACAGTTACTGTAATGAAAATCTTGTGTTACTTGAACTAAGCCCGCAGCTCGTGATTTAGGTTTGTCCGTTGCTTGTGACCAAGTGTGTCCAACAATTTTACGATGCTTTCGGAGCTTTCAGATGATTTTGCCAATCTATGAGAAGTCTTTATTTGATCATACAACAATCGTTAACTTACCCCAGTCGCATTGCCGTTAATTGAATTTTGCAATGCTCGAAATCGAATGGTATTTTTTTTTTATGGAAATGGTGCTCAGGATTATTCTTTTTACCCTAAACTTAGAGTCAATCGTGTTTTCCAGATTAAGTATCGCAAATGCAAATACTTACTTCGCTCAAGGCTTGATGAATGAATGCCCAAAATTCATTCCCAGACTTTTTTGAGAGCATGAGTGTGAATTTATGTCTAAACATGTAATTACAAGCCCACGCTATAATTATTGTGCATGATGCTTGTTTTGAACTCAAATCAGAGACGGTAGACAGTTTGGCTTTTTGCTCTACAAAAGCGAGTACTAACATCCTTCTGTAGTCACAGATCAGATCATCTGTTTCGTGTCACTGAGAACCATTTGAAAAATAAATAAGTAATGGATATTCTTTACCGAAAAAAATGCGCGGTAAAAAAAATATTCTTGAACACCATTTTCGTAAAAATACCCTTCAATTTTGAGCATTGCAAAATTCAGTTAATGGCAATGCCATTTGGCAATCTAATGATTGGTTAAAAACAAAGGCTTATTCCACGTCGATTGGCAAAATCATCTGAAAGCTCCATAAGCATCGTAAAATTGTTTGATTACTTGGTCACAAGCAACGGACAAACCTAATCACGAGTTCTGGGCTTAGTTCATAGACTAACACAATTTCCTTACAGTTACTGCTGAGAGATTTTCTTTACACATTAATCACGAGTTCCGTGCTTAGTTCATGGACTAACACAAGATTTTCCTTACAGTAACTGTCAAGAGATTTTTTTACACAGTCACGAGCTCCGGGCTTAGTTGAAGGACTAACAGAAGAATTTCCTTACAGTGACTGTCAAGAGATTTTCTTTATCTAAATCTTCAAAGCTGTTTACAATAAGCGATTAAAAGAAGTACTCGCATATGACTGATACGGGACTATATTATGTACTCGCACATAACTGATACAGGACTATATTTATAAGTGGGAGAAAGGAATTGTGTCCGTGTCGGTCCTACGCCCTCAATTTTTCGCTCATGTTGTAGGGCTTGCATTCCACAAATTATTAAGGTCACGTGGGTAAGCCCTCAGCAAACGCATTACAGTCAACATAACATAACCCTATTTTGCAACCGCTTATACAATGCTGAGGAAAGGTATTATGTGATAGGCAAAACAGAAATGTTGACTTTTCCTCTTCTGGTATCTTAATACAACCTTTTAAAGAGGTGCATTTATATTATAAATTCGAGAGAGTTAACTGAACTTCTTTCTTTTCAAAATCCTATTGCTCTACTTCTTGGCCAGCACGGAGGCACTCACGTATGAACTTTACGGATACCTTTGGTCAAACCTTTACCACTGAATATGATCCACACGTATAATATCTACGTCTGCCGTTTTTCAATTCACGAAAAAGACTTTGAGTTGCAGCGACATGCAGAGACCTTGAAGTGAGATGTACATGCCAGGCGTAGTATAGTATCCTAAAACGCTTCCGTAAGAGTATTAAGTTGGCCCAATCTATTAGCGCCATTTCCTTAAATTTATAACTTCTTATATTCCGAACACATTCACTTTCCCCATAGTTTGAACCCGTCTGAAAAAGATGACCATGCGCTTCACGAAAGCATTTGAGGAACTTTCTAACTAGGTTCTTTTAAACAAGCAGTGATAGAAGTTCACGAACAGAATCTGTAGCGTTGCCAAAAACGTGAACCAGGGTTCGGGCGAGAATGGCTAATAGTCATCTGTGAAGCGATTACGCCTTTGCCTCTTTGATTTCACTAAATGAAGCGCGTTCTTCTTGAGAGAAGTTATAAGTCGCTTTCATAATGACTCAAATGCCAGAGTTCTTGCATTACATACAAAACCTTTTATGCTCCAATCTGCAAGCTTTCAAAGTATGCACTTGGACTCTGCATGAAGCGAAGCTGCCTTGTTCATGCCTTGCCTTGTTTGACTATTGAAGTACAATCAATCAATGTGTTTAAGCACACAATATTTTGCCCTATACTGCAGAGAAGCAAAAATGACTAAGATGACGAAGCAAATTTTCAATGCAATCTATCAGCAATCGCTAAGGAGCTCGCTGTAAATGGTTCTCAATGACACTAAACAGATGATCTGATAATTGACTTTGCATCACTGAAAAACATCACTTAGCTCTTTTGGATAAAAGTATTGTGATCAAATCTACGATTTACTTGAGAAAATATTATAATCGGCTAAAGGTCTGGGTGAAAAAAGAAGAAACGTTTGCCATAACCGAATATTATACTTAGATGAAGAAGAGCTGAATGGAGTTTTGAATCATGAAGCATACAGAAACGCATGATGCGATCTAATGGCCTCAAAGAAATGAAAACTATGAGTACAAAAGAAAGCTAGCACTCGCTTTTGTAGAGCAAAAAGCCAAATTTTTCACCATCTTTGATGCGACAGGACAAGAATCATACACGATGATTATAGCGTGGGCTTGCATTTACATGTTTAGACATAATTTTGGGCGTTCATTCATCAGCCTTGAGCAGAGTAAGTATTTGCAGCGATACTTTATTTGAAAAATTTTTTTTGACAATTTTGACATTGACAATTTTTTGACATCCTTTTTGATAAAAAAGAATCTTGAGCACCATATTTACAAAAATTCCATTCGATTTTGAACATTGCAAAATTTAATTGATGGCAATGCGACTAAGGTAATTTGATGATTGTTGTATGATTAAACAATGGCTTCCTCCACGTCGATTGGCGGAATCATCCAAAAGCTCCGAAAGCATCGTTAAACTGCTATTCGACACATTTGGTCACAAGCAACGGACACACTTAGTCACGAGTTGAGGGCTGGTTCAAGGACTAACAAAATTTTTTCTTACAATCTGTCAAGAGATTTTCTCTATCTAAATCTTCAAAGCTGATTACACACAAGCGATTAAAAGAAGTACTCGCATGTGACTAATACAGGGCTATATAAGTGTAAGAAAGGAAGTTGTGTCCGGTCGGTCACGCTCTTGAATTCTTGCTTAAAATGTTGTAGGGCTTGCCTTCCCAAATAATACAATCCTATTACTCTGCCCCTTGGCCAGCACTGAGGCACTCACGCTTAAGATACTGAGGCACTCACGCTTAAGATAGTATTACTTGAAGGCCCTGTCAAACATAATGGGCAACATATCCATAATTAGCATGCTAAACAACTCCTGTAGACAAAGTGTGAGCGAATACTGAAGATTCAAGATACTAGGCTACCTAAGTGAAATGGTCAAATTCCAACATGGTTAACTTTGTTTCAAAGGTGAATTAGCTATCCTTTTTTGCACTCAAGACAAAGCACTACTTCTTCTTTGTCCACCTCAGAAATTTCGCTTTGAAAGACCTCCAAACTGTGGAATTAGAAGCCAACCAAAATCTAATTTTTCCCATTTTTCGCTTTTAATGGCTGCGCTTTCACCAAATATCACTTTTAGCAAAGAAGACGGATCAGGCTCCAAACAGTCCTATGGAATCTACAAGGTTTAGCTATCGATTCATACAAATAAAGTTCGCTAAAAATGTTTTTTTTTGATATAGTTAATGGGGTGCGGCACACCCCCTTAAAAGCTGCCGCTGCCGCAGCTTTTAAGGGGGGTGTGCCGCACCCCATTAACTATATCAAAAAAACATTTTTAGCGGACAGTACTTATATGAATCGATAG